AAACTTTGGCCTTTGTTTTCTCATTGTCATCTGCCTCAAACAGATAAATTTGTGTGCCCGCATCTAGTTCGTATAGAGACGTATCGTCCTGCTCCGGGTCTTCCGGTTTCCGGCCGCCGGCAAGAAGAATTTGGGAGCCGAACAAACAGCAACCCATATCGTAGGGAACATCCTTGCCCTCCACAGAAGCCAGTTTTCGCAGCAACTCTAATTTGTCAATCTTTAATTGGGATTTGGATTTGAGTATGGATGATAAATCGCTCAATCCGATGGCGGAGATATCATAACGAGCATGAAAACTCCTGCTATTGCACTTGTAGGTACATATATATAGAGACTTACTGTTGGTACCAGTATCATCCGCCACCGCCGCCCCCTCCGGAATTCCCATCTCTCGGAGCCTCCTCTCCATTTTTTATTTTCTTTTTGGAGTTCACTGATCTATTCTATTAGCTCTTGGTTTTCCTATTTCTTCTGTTGGATTTGCTTATGCGTTGCACCGCTACGCTTTCATATAAAACATAATGAATGTATTTGTTGGCGTGTGTTAATTATAGGAGATTTATTTCCTAAATCTTGTACAATTGTAGACTTTGTTTCCTATTTGACTTTCGTTTCCTTTTCTGCTATGCGTTAACCCTACTTTGTATAAATTCAAGTTGCTGAATTTTAATAGATTCCGTTTATCTAAACCAAGTTTTCCTACCAGTACTGACCTTTCTTGTTTTGAATAACTTAACACTTCCTAAAACCAACCCCAAATATTTCCTAAAAAAAATGTCAATTAAATTATTTCCTAAAGAAACGCCAAACTTCATGCATTTCTTCCTCTTATTTGTTATTCTTCCTTTCTCTGCAAGTCTCTCCTTTCTGAGTCCAGATCTTCTGTCCCCTATCTAATTCAATGGCATATGTCTTTAAGCTGCGCATAACCTTAACCCTAATATATATATATATATATATATGGGGGCGGATCCGTGACATCATATTTTTGACACAAGTTTTGACACAATTTTTGGGCCATTAGATTACTCCACTTTTAATGGTTGAGATTAAACATGACATGGAAAAATAATATTTTTCTCTTTAATTAATATTTATACATTGGGATTAAAATCCTGATACCATATTAATTAAGAATCCATTCTCTCTCTTCTCATTAATTATCTTTAATTAATTAATTCTCTCTCTTTCTTCTACAGAGAATTGACGCCTCTCTCTCTCTCTCTCTCTCTCTCTCTCTCTCTCTCTCTCTCTCTCCTCCCCAACCCCGCTTCTAATTATATTTTTATATTGTTGTTTTAT